TAAAAAAATAAAATTTATATCTTTATTTGTTCCTTTTATTCTAAAAAATTATAGTGACACTTGTAATGGCAATTAATGGTCCTTGGGACCAAGGGGGCTAGTCTTTGTAATCTTCTTTGTTTGATTTAGCCTTTTTTTTTTTTACATATTACAACTTTGGGCGAAGATTCAAAACACAATCCTTGTGTTTTGGGTATACCTAATTACCTATAACATGACTTATAATTATGTCAGATGTGATTTAGGTATTTAATTTAATAACAATTAGTAAATAATAATTAATATCTCACGGTGATAATATTTACAATTAAATATTCTAAGTGGTTCCATTAAAACTGAATAGCTGATATCTATTCTTTAAACGATTCAAACGGTTCAACCAAACGCCTATATTGAAGAGAAAACTACCAGATTTGGAGCCATTTTCATTTTAAACTATGGTCCATGCATGCCTTCGGGCAGTCTTGGAAGCTAGAACTGGGCCAGACAACCTCAATTCACGAATATAAAATCACAAAGAACATACTATTTATGCCACAATCGAAGAACGTCAAGGCAGCACTTGTCTTTGGATGCCTGAATTCACGGGAGTTGGCAGCAAATTCGAAGATTGTCTGATTTCTTTATACAAAATTTATGTGTAGAAAATTAAGCAACAAGATGTGAATTATTACCTGAGCACAGAAGATACGTGCGATTAGAGCTATTCGCCGGTTGTTTTGAGCAAAACAATGTGCATCACACAGAGCCAGCTCCAGTGGGGACGAGGTCCACCGGAAAAATACCAGACCCACCATTAAAGCAACCTTCTTTGAACCATATTTCGTTCGTGCGCACCAGGCCCGAAGTGGCATCTTGCCATATTGTGGTGCACTTCCCCTCCCTTGGTGGGTTCGAGCCCGCCTTGACAAATTGTTCAAAAATATTTCGTTCGTGCTATAGTTGGGGAAGAGGATTAGGTTGGATTAGGTGAATGCAGACGAGGGTCTTAATAAATGTAAGAGAAACTCTTCGGGACCCGTGCTGTTTTCAAGGGATCTGAATATTGACGCGCACGGACGTGCTGTTTCCACAGCATTCAGCTTCGAAAGTTGCAGTCCTCATTTGGGGTTTGGTTAAGAATCCCAAATTTGGTGCAAAGATTAGAGATTTCTGTATCTGGGATTTTTAATTCTTGACATCCCCAGAAACCCGATTTCCGAGTTGAAAATTCTTTTGGCGAATCACTATTGTAATCGTTTCCATTTTATTCTTGCAAATGGGTTGTTGTGGAAGCAAGCACAGTTTTTCTCGTAACAATGGTAATGGCTATGGATCAGGTAATATTCCGGCGAGGCCAACCCACCAAAGTTGTCTTCAACATAAGCATGTTGAATCCCAGAAAGTGTCCGTTCCTCAGCCTCAAGGGTCACAACCAAGGCAGCACCACCACCAGCCACCGCCTCTGCCCAATTCTATACCTCATGCCCCACAACCACGGCAGCAGTATCAGCAGCCACAGCCCCAGACAATTCCGGTACCGGTTAAAACTACACGCAGAAGCAACATGCCTGTTCAAAAGCACGATACAATCCTAGGCAACCCTTTTGAAGATATTAAGCAATTCTATACTCTCGGTAAAGAATTGGGTAGAGGGCAATTTGGCATAACTTACTTGTGCGCGGAGAATTCTACTGGGGACACTTATGCTTGCAAATCAATCTTGAAGAGAAAGCTGGTCAGTAAACAAGATAGAGAGGATGTAAAGAGAGAAATACAGATTATGCAGCATTTATCTGGGCAGCAGAACATTGTGGAATTTAGGGGTGCTTATGAGGATAGGCAATCTGTGCATGTTGTAATGGAGCTTTGTGCTGGTGGAGAGCTGTTCGATCGGATTATTGCTCACGGGCATTATTCGGAGAGAGCTGCGGCGGAAATTTGTCGTTCAATAGTGAATGTAGTCCACATTTGCCATTTCATGGGAGTAATGCATCGTGATCTCAAGCCAGAGAATTTCTTGTTGTCTAGCAAGGATTCGGGAGCCATGTTGAAGGCAACGGATTTTGGGTTGTCCTTCTTTATTGAGGAAGGTGAGTTTCTAACGAAGTTTGCAATGTCTCCTTTACATTGTTTCTTATCTGAGTGTATTCAGTAAAAATTTCGATGATTTGCCATCTTGTCAGAAAATTTATATATTTTTGTCATGGTGTAGACTGTATATGGTACATTTGAACTTCAATTTGTCAATCTATGGGATTTGTTGATTGAATTCCACTTTCTTGAGATGTACATAGATATAGTTTCCAAAAGATTGTAAGATGATTATAATCAGTTGTATTAGGTCTTTCAGTTGGTGATAGATAAAGAGGCAATTAGCAAGTCTTTTCAAGTTTTATGTTAACCACACAAGCTATGCAGAAGTTATTATGCTGTTTAACATTTAGAAAAAACTGATCTTGAAGCCTACAACCCTGGGATTATTATTTATGCAAAACAAAATCCATGTGTAACATAATATGATCTTATTTGTAGTCTACCCTGATACTTATTGACTTGCTTTGAAACTTATATCAGGAATGGTGCACCATGATATAGTAGGTAGTGCATACTATGTTGCTCCTGAAGTGTTGCGGCGGAGTTATGGAAAGGAAATTGACATCTGGAGTGCTGGAGTAATCTTGTATATTCTACTTAGTGGTGTCCCTCCTTTCTGGGCTGGTAATACAAAAAATGTCAAGGTTTTGCTCTTGAGTGTTTTTGTTTCAGTATGTTGTAAGTTCTGGTCAATAATTTTTTATTACCAAAGCTGATGGGTCTGAATTGGTATCGCAGAAACTGAAAGAGGAATATTTGATGCTATTTTAAAGGGAGAAATAGACTTTCAAAGTGATCCATGGCCAAGAATATCAGAAAGTGCTAAAGATCTTGTCAAGAAAATGCTGACAATGGACCCAAGAAAGCGGATAACTCCTGCACAAGTTCTTGGTACTTAAGCATGTATTCTTTTTTGGACATTAATTATAAATTTATAAATTATAATCACTGAAGCTACTGTGTTAGGTCTAACAAACTGTTCTAGTTACCATCAACTCTAATTTTTCGCTATATATTATATTTTCTTGCAAATTTATTTTATTAAATGATAAAATTAAGGATTTTTTTGGCCAGATGGCAATTAACAGTTTAAATTTGAAACAGTGCATTGTCCTGCTGCCACCATATTTTCTCATTGCTTCCAGAAAAGGATATTATATCATTTTCAGCATGTTAGTGGAAGATAATAGTAAAAATTTGTTTATATCACATTATTGTTGTCTTTGCTCATTATTCATTGACTAAGATTTCTATTATCTTCTAATATTACCTTTATCTTAGTTGTCTTGGCTTTGGTTAATGTATGATACTGTACTGTCAGAGCATCCTTGGATTAGAGAAGGAGGAGAGGCTTCAGATAAGCCAATAGATAGTGCTGTTCTCTCCAGAATGAAGCAATTCAGGGCAATGAATAAGCTCAAGAAGCTCGCTTTGAAGGTAAGTAGTAAACAAGATTGGAAAGTATTCTGATTGTAAATTTAAGATGTTGTGATAACTTTCCCTTCAAGGGCTTGAAAAATGCCAAATTTTTTAGGGAAGGCATTTAACCTCTAATGCCATTGTCTCCAGTCTGTAAGTCCATCTAGTGCTTATTCCACTGTTTTGTCTGGAAGAAGCTTAGAATGGTTATTGCAGAGGAATATTTCCTTATAATGAGGAACCCCCACCATACCCAAGTCAATGGTCTTATGCTGTATCCAGAAGCCAATCTATATCAGCAGCAATGCTTGATTTGCCTTCACTAAACTACTTTAACCCTTCCAATCATCAAATTTCTTTCTAATCTTTGTTAGAACTTATACTACAGAAACCACAAGAAGTAAGGTCAACCTGAGGTTTTTCTGAAATACCAAGCAAGGCTCTCAGATCTGGCATTCTTAATGATTTAAATCTCCATAAATTATTATGTTTTCATAATTATAATCTCCATTTGTGACACTGCAATCTACACATTGTTATGCAGTATGTAGGTGCTTGTATAGCTTATACTTGCTGTTTTTCCCATCATTAAATAATGTTGGTCTGTCTTGAAATTTCCCTAGGTTATTGCACAAAATCTATCTGAAGAAGAAATCAAAGGTCTCAAGTCAATGTTCACAAACATGGACACTGACAAAAGTGGTACAATCACCTATGAGGAACTGAAGACAGGTTTAGCTCGTCTTGGATCAAAGCTCTCTGAGGCTGAGGTCAAGCAACTAATGGAAGCTGTAAGTAACTGTCTACCCTCAATGGTGCTTAAACAGGATTTTTCTATGGTAATTATGCCTTGCATCTCAAACTCAATTCCTTGGACTTTGTATGTGTAACATGTTTCAGGCTGATGTGGATGGAAATGGAACAATTGATTACATTGAATTCATCACAGCTACCATGCATAGATACAGACTGGAAAGAGAGGAGCACTTATATAAAGCATTTAAGTACTTTGACAAAGATGACAGTGGGTGAGTTCTGAGGTTTCCTTTTCGTTATAAAGACCATTTTGTTTGCATATTATTGTTCACATGCTGCCATGCCTGCATGACTGTGCTCGACGAAGTTTTCACAAATTCAACCTATGCATATGGATATTCCTTTTCCCTTAGAAAATTTATTTACATTATTACTACATGGACAAAAAATAATAGAAATATCTTTGTAGAGTAAATCCTTTTCCACTTATCTTTGAAATAAGAGTTCTTTTAATGCAAGTTTATTCCCACAAATCTAAAATTTTAAGGGCTGCTTGGTCAAGATTTCATACTTAAGATGATTCCTGAGAAGCTAAGCTTTAGGCCCTTTTCTTGATTCATTCATACACTGGCATGGCCATTTTATTAAATCAATGTTGTATTCCACTATAGGTATATTACAAAGGATGAACTAGAAACTGCCATGAAAGAGTATGGAATGGATGATGAAGCCAGCATCAGGGAAGTAATCTCCGAGGTTGATACAGATCATGTAAGTAGTTTCAAAGCAAACGTTCAAAACTCTCAGACATCATTGTCAGTATTAACCCAGTTTGAATTGACAGGATGGGAGGATCAACTATGAGGAGTTCTGTGCAATGATGCGAAGTGGTACGCAACAAACTGAAAAGCTCTTCTAGATCCAATTAATGGAAACAGAAATTCCATTACCACCAAGTAACAACCACACTGATGTATTGACATAACTCGGTAAGCAGGAATAGGGCAATTTCACCTGAAGGCATGGGGTAGATTGTTGTCTGGGATTATTTTATTGAGGGGCTTTCCCTGTCCTAATTTGCGGAAATTCATAGATTGAGCATGCAAGGCTATAATGTAGCATCAGTTGAGGTTGTCTTTGTGCATATATCTACATTCTGAACCTCTTTAAGTTTTTCAGAGTTCGCTCCAGTTTTTCACCTGCTTCTTTTTATTTTCATTTCTTCACTCATTCTTCTCACCATGTGATCCAGCTGATATTGTTGATTAATCCAGGAAGATATCTAAGCAATGCGGTTTATTTGTGATTTGATGAGAGGAAATACTTATGGATTATAAGTTCCTGATACATTGTTTACTTAATAACTTTTAGTCTTCTAATCCTGTTATTACAGACATAGCAAGATGGCTATGCTAGACCATCAATAGATCCCCTCAATCTTACTTTTGAATTTTATATGCCATTGGCTGGTGTATCTAAGATGAAGATGAATCATAAGTCATGATATCTACCTCATGTGTGCATTTTCTGGAAGCTTCCATGCAGACACTTTATCTTCAGTCCTCCGACTTGGGGTTCTTGACAGGATAGAACCAGCTCCCCCAAGATGGTAAACCGTTCACTGTTGAAACATGCAATGCTTGCTACATTTAAGAAGTTGCTTTGGCTGTGAAGTGCTACATGCTTTGAAAAAGAAATAATTGATGTTGTCATTTTAGGTGCCCAAAACATCACTAAAGCAGTGCAAATATCTCAGTAAACACCTTTCCATGAAAATAACACAGAATATCTTACGCCACCCCCACTTGCAAATTCTGGCTCCAAATTTTATGCTCCTGAATTTTAGATCAGTCAAACGGTGTGTGTAATTAGACATATAGAACCCTAAATAGAATATACTAAAATCATATTTCTTCTTTTCTACTTGGGCATCCTTTGCGCTTAAAATACTAGGTTGCCCAGAATACAACGTGTTTAGCTGTAATCAACCAAGGGGGAATAACTTGTATACGGAAGAAATGCAGAAAGGACCTATAGTTTAAAATTGGAAGGATGGAATCCAAAGTTTTAGCTTCATATTCTCCTGACATAAACCGCATTAGAGACAACCTTTCAAGTTACCTTTCCACGTGAGGTTGTTTTCTGTATTGTACCCACTAAGCATATACTAACATGCACGTGTGCACACATTTTCTTTATACCTGGGAAAATGGGGTTACTCGCAAGTCAAGACAGACAGCAAATTTCCCATCTTTTTATTCCAGTAATCTCTAATCACACCCCATAATTAACTAATGGTCTCTCATTTTACATTAATTATGTGATAATTGGGGTACAATCTCTTTAATTATCACCTCCAAATGAACCTGCACTAGATCAACATTTTCAGGACTCAGACAATGGGTAATATTCTGTTGAGATATGAAACAAGGCAAAAGAGGTTTTTTTTTTTTTTCAGCAGACCAATTCCTAAGATGGTTAGATGGATGTAAGAATTAGGATCTAGGTAATGTATGGTTAGGTTCTCCCACTAACTTTAAGTCTTTGTTTGATATGGAATTAGGTACAAAGTATCACTTGAACTTACCTTGGATGCTCCTGACATGCTTAAATATAGGAGGCACAGACACAGAGCCTAATCACTGATATAACAAGCAGACAATATTACAGTTGTTAACTTATATTTTTCTTTAAGCAAGAGAAATGGTGGTCTGATAAACTTATAATGCAGCATCTTAAGCTGGAAAAGTTTGTTATTTTTCAATACTTTTTGCTAAGATTTTTTTTTCCAACTTTGCATAGCCTATCTCCCAAGAAAAGATAAGAAAAGAAAATCAGAAAGCCATTTTGGGAGTGAGAGGTGCACGTGCTGTTGGTTGCATGCCTCAGCCCTCGCCGCCCTCTTTTCCTTACACAAAAACTGAAACCAAAACCAACCGCAAAAGACTCATCATTTTAATCACAAATCCCCCTTTTCTCTCTCTGGAAACATCACTCTTTTGATTGCCCTCCTTGGTACCTCATAATCCCTTTCTTGTTTGCTTCTACACAAGTTGCCTCAAGTTTCAGTGTCGACTTGCACTCAAGCTGCACTCTTTTTCATCTCAATCTGGGCTCTCTAGCACCATTAATGACTCAAATCTGCTTTTGCTAATCCAAACAACCTTTTCATATGTGGGTTTTCCATTTTGCCTTAAAATAGCTTGCTTTTATAAAACCCCTGCATTTTTCTTTAATGGGTTTTTGATTTCTTCCTTTGAATGTTAATAGTTCTTCAATCTTTTCATCTTTGAAGCATTTGTTTAAGATTTCTCTTGGTGGGAACTCTCCTTTTATGTGATATTTGATTGAAAGCTTTAGAATTTTTCTTGTTTGGGGAGGAGCTCAACTTTTGCATATGTCAATGGTAGAGCTTCAATCCTGTGCTAGCTTGGTCAATGCTTCTGCATTGTGTGCAATCGAGAAAGAAGTGAAAGGAGACAGTGTTAATGTCATTGCTGAGATTGCGGCGGAGTTGCAAAGAGAAAGGGAGAAAAATGCTGAGCTTATGGAGAGAATATCATTACTTGAAGCTCAGATACAGGAGAGAGATAAGGAGTCCCTTCACGCAAATCAGCAAGTATGTTTTTGGCTACTACACAGTTGTGTCCTGGTCTCATTTTTTTTTTCCCTTTTCGTTTTGCTATTATTGGTGCTATATTTAAACAAACATTTTCATTGATGAACCTGGCTTTAGAAATGATCCTTTGCTGTGCACACAAAACGATATCTATTTTGTTTTGGTAAGGTTACCAGCGCATGGAATCAATGGATGACTATGAAACAGTTTTCATGGTACTAGAGTTAGCCTCTGAAATCAATTTTATATCGGGAAGGAATTTTGACTTGAGAACTAGATGAGATTAATGAATTTGAGGGCCACAATATCGGTAACATATGTTCTTCCTGAATGTGAAAGACATGGTTAGTCCAAATTGTTTCCTTCTAATTTCATTACTGAATCATCCTATGGAGTTCGAATACTGACAAGTTCATGCATGACACTTTTATTGTTTGTTGCTGTTTTTTCTACTCTTGGAATTGTTCCAAAAACAATCAGTATTAGTTAATTTTGCTTCCCTCTTCTATTAGTCTGCTTCAGCTGTCCCTAATACTTTTCTGATTCTGGCACCGACTAATGGCCCCTGTAATGTTCTCTTTCAGAGTAGTTGTCTTGATGGAACAGAAAGAAGCTTCAAGAAGTTCAAAAGACATAAAATAGATGCAAGTAGTCATAGAATAGAAGATGGAAACATGATCAGAACTGACATGGCCTCAAAGACTAGAAATGATGGAGAATGTATGCCTACCACAGATGGCGGTTTAGATGACCGCTTGGTTAACTGGATGAGCATGGATGACACGCAGTTTTTGCTTTTTGATAAATTTAAAGAAGCTGAATTTGCGGCAGATTGTGTTGATACAGATGAAAGTAATGATGAAGATGATCTTTTTGAAGAGGATGATACTAAAACAGACCTTAAAGATAGGACAAATGAGGAGAATAAAACAAGTGTTGATGAGGTAAAAGAACAGCTTCATGCAGGTGGTCTCAATCAGAAGAATCATATGATAGCTTTAGAAAGTTTTTCTGTCGATCAAGTGGAACAGACATGTGCAGATCAAACTAGCCATATAAGAAAAGATGATAGAGAGAATAACTCTGTGCTACTGGATACAAACTCGGCTTATAACAAGAGAGATCTGAAGAAACATGAAAAGAAAGAAACCAGAAGAACAGGAGAATACAAAGAACCGGTAGAGATTCTTACTTCTGGTCAGGAGGTTGATCATATTGTATCTGGAAGTATAGCATTAAATAAGAAACCTTCAAAGGTTCCTTTCTGTCCAAAGGAAGTTAAGAAGATACTTGAGGCAGATGTCCTCCTATTGAAAAATGCTCAGTCCCACACTATAAGGAAAATCATTGTTTTTGCATCCCTGGGTATAAGACATGGATGTGAAGATATGTACGAGTTAGATTTCAATCACTTCAGCATTTTGAGGAAAGGGGAACCATATGTGTCTCCAAAAGACCCTGGGGTAAGGGCCTGATTTTACAAATTTCACGGATTTATGCCGCTTATTGTTCTGACAGTTGACAGATCAACCTTTCTATTGTAAATTTCATTCTTTTACGTGGGAAATAATGTAATTCATTTATTTTCAGGAGCATGTTTTATATGAGAATCCCGGTGTTAGGAGGAAGGTTTTCTTTCCAAATAAACAGAACCCAACATTATGTCCTGTCCAAATACTTGAGGAGGAGAAGGCTATGCGTCCATCTGATCCTTGCTGCCCTTCATGCTTATTTCTGTGTATTAAGTACGGTGGAAGGACAAGGAATCTTCCTCAAAATGAGTAAGAATTTTTTCATAAGTTTATTTTCTTTTCTTTTCCCTTTTTTTTTTTTTTTTTTTCCTTCGAAACTCTTTTGCAATCATATGCATGACAATGTTTTATGTTTAAATTCTTACAAATGCAAACCTTAGTCTCTTCTGTCAGTGAAAGTCATAGAATTGAAAAACCTGACCTTGGAAGTTTTTTCAATGAAATGCCGTGCTGCTGCTTGTTTCTGAATACTAACTTCAAAACATTTGGAATGTCCTTTTTTAAGAGCAAATGTTTGTGGGATGATTTTTCCAGATATGTCAGGCAGCGTATGGGGAGAAACAAGCTGAAGTCTTTTGGGCCTGTTATGTGCCGAATGGCAATGCTAGTCCATGTTCGCAGTGGGAGCTTCTTCTTCAAGGCCTTGGGTATCACTCTTTTGTTCATGGCTGGTTTCCCTGATGACCTGGTTCAGAAAGAAACAAAATATAGGAACCTAGACTTGCTGCAAAAGTATTATAGGTAAGAACCCTACAAAATAGTTTATATATGCAAAGCCACATATGTAAAGCTTGATAAATTGTATGGCATTTATTTTTTTTATGGTCTTCTCTTGGTTCCCTAATGACATTTGATAGCAACATATTCTAGAGCTGTTTCCCTTACTCTGCAGCCTTTGTATTACAGGACAGATGATGATGCTGAAGGAGAAGAGCTATTTCTTTCACATCCAGTTGAATGCAATACTGTAAGATAACAGAATTCCTGAATGTCATCCAGTTGATGCATTGTTATGATTGAAAGCTGCAATTAATTCTTGTTAAGAATTCCAAACTTGTTTTATTAACTGTTTTAAGTATTTATTGTACAAGTTTCCTGTTTTACAAATAGTGTCATAATTTCCAACTTGCTTTTTCAGCGGGTGAGTCCTGGTTGTTCTCAGCAGTTAACTGGGAAGATAACCTCAACAAAATCAAGGGGAAGGAAACAGAGAAAGTCTCAGAATTCTCAAAGATCCTCAGTTCAAGATTATGCTCCTTCAAGTTCTACACAGGCTACCCCATTTGGGTTGATGGGTTACACTGCAATTCAAACTCGTGCAATGGCAGCATTTCAGTCTACACCATCTCAGATTCCACAAGATACCCTACAAACCTCAAACTTGACAGTTAAGAATCCTAGTACTAATGTCCCCTACCAGGTTCAAACCCCATATCATATGTTTCCACCACAACCAGCAAACACTTTCATGCCTATGATATATTGGCCTGCACCAACTGCATTTCCTCCAAGCCCTTATCCAACTACATATGGTTATCAATCTTACCCACCTAATGCAAACTGCATCTCCATCCATCCACAGCCTCATTACAACCACCCATCGAGAGCCTCTTCCATTCATCCAACTCCGAAGATAGTAGGAGGTGGGAAGGGTGATGTGGTCTTGGAGGAAGCTGATAGTGACTCAGATAGCAGCAGTTCAAGCAGTGCAGAACCAAAATAGGCATTAGAAAGCTGAAAGCAAATGACCATTTGTGCATATTCATTCCATGTAAATCATCACCACTATGGAATGATGCATATTTTTGACCTCTTCTAAAATAGGCTGCGGGTATGTAACTCAGAATCCTTGTTTTTATGTAAACTCAGTGCTCCTTAGAACGGTAAACATACCATATTCTAGCCATATTGCACTGAGATGATTATATTCTGGAAACATCTTTTCAGAAAATTATGTGTTGAACTTCTCAGTTCTCATTATTCAGGTTAGTTAATCAGCTTCCCATCCATCTTGCAAACTTGGTTTGAGTTATTCAGTAACCAACATGAAATTCTGGCATCAGTTTGCTCAATACAATATTAAAAAGATTTGAAAAAATTCTTGTGTGCTGTATCCAGTACACTTTCTATCTTCATTTAGTGAAAATTTATTTTTGAGTTCTATGCAAGTAGAGGTGCTCTAATTAATTAAATTCATTATAAGTGTATTATTTTTTTTAAAAAGTCCATGATACCCTTGATATTAGTTTTCATTTTAGCATACAAATTGTCATTAATCAAACAAAAAAACCAGTTAAAAAATACTAACAGTGTAAATCATTTAATAATAATTTTTTTAAAGTAAAAATAAAATTTAAATTGTACAATATATGAGTGGATGTAGGTAAAGGAACACGTGAGAGCATTACTTTCTATTATAAAACTCAAAATAAAAGCCGGTAACACCAAAGGGACGGATTCATGTCCAATAATCTATGCACTAGAAGAGTGTACTCCAGATCTGTCCCAGGAACAATGCAGCTTTTGTCTGGCGACAGCCACTGGGAGGATTGCAACTTGCTGCTGCAGAAGAACAGGATGCAGGATAGTTCAACCCAGCTGCAGTGTGAGATATGAGGCTAACCCATTTTTTGCAGCTGTTAATGTCACCCCTCATCAGTCCTCACGGCCTCCGAGAGAAGGTAGCTATTTCCATTGTTGGGAAGGCTGTACAAGCTGTTGATATTCACTACTTGAAAGAAATATTATTCTTTCATCTTATTATTATTATTATTATTATTTGTACCATGCGCTAGATTATAAAATGCAAGCAGTAATTCGGTCCACACTTGTGGCTTTTGCAGGAAAAGGCAAATTCTCATCAACCTATTCTGTTGCTGGCATTCTGGTGTTTGTCATCTGTCTTTTTCTTTGTATCTTTTTAATACCCAAAAACCAAAGCCAAGTAGTTCTGTTATGGGTAAGTTACATGTTTAAAATCCGTTCCTGCTGGAGAATCTTCACTGCTAAAACTAACATTCCACACCCTCCCCCCCCTCCCAACCCTAAAATCATCATATTATTTTGCTCCAAAAGCTTCTAGGAGAAATGATCTTAGGACATGATTTGATGTAATCTTACCAAAGTAGCTAGCAAGGCAAGCTGTAGTTAATTAAGCAAATAAAATGACTTAATTTTAGGATATTTTAAATCAAAAAATCTTCACTGTTTTTTGTATTGAGTATAGATCAGTAAAAGGGAATTAATGATGAAATGCTGCAAATAAAATAAGTTTCCACTTTTGACAATTGATCAACGTGAATATTTTTCATAATTTGTCGTACAACTTACGTGTTGCTTTTTGCAGTTATATCTGAAGCGAAATTGCAATTTAGTTATCAAGAAATCCGGATAACAGCTAATTTCTTCTCTGAGGAAAATAAGCTTGGTCAAGGAGGATTTGAAGCAGTTTATAAGGTAATGAATGATGTGAATCAGAAAAGAACAGTAGTCCTATATTTGGATGTACTGAATTAGCTTCATATTTCATATTCACTCTGTTTGATTTATATATGTACAGGGTAAACTTCTTGATGGACGAGAGATAGCTATAAAAATGCCACTGAATTCTAGACAAAGACACACAGAATTTAATAATGAAGTTCACTTAATGGCCCAGCTTCAACACTGCAATTTAGTCAGACTCTTTGGTTTTTGCTCAAAAGGAAATGAAAGACTTCTCATTTATGAATTCGTGGCAAACAGAAGCCTTGATTATTTCTTATTTGGTATGCACTTTTTTTTTTTAACCTTCCTTTGGGTTCTTTGCATGATTTCAAGTAGTTTATCCTTTATATATGTCCTGGTCATCTGCAAAGCCATGAACATCTTTTTAATTAATTAATATCCTAGTATAGTGATTGGTCCTTGTTTTGTTTTAGTAATTAATTAATCACGTGCATGAACTATGAACATATAGATCGTACCAATCGTGAGCAACTGGATTGGAGAAAACGCAGGGAAATCATTAAAGGCGTTGCTAGTGGCCTTCATTACCTTCACAAGTATTTTCATCTTCGAATCGTTCATTGTAATCTCAAAGCAAGTAAGATTTTATTAGACAAAAATATGAAACCCAAAATTGCAGATTTTGGCAGTGCAAGGCTTTTTGAAGGAGATGAATCACAAGGCAATGCTAGTAAAGCTGTGGGAACTTAGTAAGTATCAAAAATAGTAAAACTTTGACTTCTTTCTCATACACATAAATATCCAAGTACCATTGTTCCATTTGATAGCCGGAAAGAACTAAGAAAATACTAGTAGACCATGTGTTTAAACTTTGAACCCATACCAATTGCTTAAACAATTTAGTGGTAATTTTCTTTCATTGAAAGAAAGGAATTTTGAGTTAGTGCATAAGGTGTGGGTGATGTGGGTGAAGGGTTGTGATTGAATTAACTCCTATTGCAAAACTCAAATTTTAAAAAAAAAAAAGGAAAAGAAAACCCCTTTGAAGCCATACATATCTTTTCATATTGAAAATTATTTCATTGACATTGATATGCATACAATGGATATATGGCTTCAAAATATGTAATGCATGGACATATCTCACTAAGGACAGATGTCTTTAGTTTTGGAATGTTGATATTAGAGATTGTTAGCGGTTAGAGAACTAATAATTTTTGTTCAAATGGGAAGAGCATACTACTAAGCACTGTAAGTATGAAAATCTGAGCTTACGTTTCTCTCTTGTAACAAATAGAAGTTGAAATCTTAACTGGATCTCATCTTAATGCTGAGTGCATTCATAAACTTTTGCAGGCATGGGAAAATTGGAGGAATAAGACTACAACAGAGTTAATAGATCCAACTTTGAGGGATGGCTTGAGGAGTGAAATCATCAGATGCATCCATTGCTATGCATTCAAGATTATGAAGTCAGACCAAATATGGATTCAATTGTGAACAAACTTAATTGCAACAAAAGCGCTCTTCAAGATCCCAAACCACCCGCATTTTTAGTGAATCAGGAGGGCGGTGCATTGGGGGAGTGTTTTGAGAATCTAATTGCCTCTGATCATGAGGAAAGCTGATAGCCACTCAGCCGTTCAAGCAGTGCAGAACCAAAGCAGGCATTAGAAAGCTTGACAACGACGGCTACTTGTGCATGCACCTTGAGTGCATAACTGCCTAGACAAGGAAATATCATCCTAGGGGAGAGGCAAAAGATCGAAGGCGCTCCGTGTTTTGTTTTTGTTCTATACTCTTTAATTTTTCATTGATGCATTTTTTCC